TTAAAAATCAAAATTTCTTTGCTGCTGTCTAACGCAGGCAAGTGCCAAGGCAATTTTAGACATACTGCCACCCAGGCAAATAAACTTGCATTGTCGCTCTTCATGTGGATTGCCAAGCTTAAATTGCTCCTTTTTTGCTTAAACATAAATAATTCAGTCTAATTTACTAGACCAGAAGACAAATGACACATTTTCACTTTCCTTGCACGCAAATAAATTACAATCTCGCAAACTTCGGTCTCTCGCTGTTTTATGCCATGTAGTAGTGGTCAACCGCAGGACACATACACACAACCGCAACAACAACTACATAAATACATAAACAAAAGGCCAAAAGAGCATTACAAATAATAAATACAAAATTGGCTTGGAAAAGTGAGCGGCTGTGTACAGTTATTCGAAGTTAGACGTTCAAGTGCGTTGCCTCAATACTTTCCTGACCGCCCTGCAGGAAAACTGTAGCCTAACATTGCTTAATTAACTGCATGCGTTACAAAGCAAGTTGGCACATATTAGAGTTTTGTGTAGTGGAGCTAAGGACGGAGTGGGTGAAGGAAAGAAGGCTTATACAATAAATAACTGAATATGAAATAATTTTTAAAAATTTTGGAAACATTTTTCAGTTGTTCATTTCCCATAGTTCCCCGCCAGTACGTGTTATTCGTTATCCTGCCACCAGCTTACCTGCTTTGCTTAGTCTTAATCCATATTCGGTCCAGCCTATTCACACACTTACTCGGCAGGCAGCAATAAAAGCCATTGTTTATGTGCCACCACAGCATCACACACACACACACTCACCAATACATGCGTGCATAAACCACAGTGGCGTACAAAAGTGGAGAGCTGTGATAGATTGCACACGTAGAGCCTGGCATTGTTGGTCGGGCAACGAAAGTGTTAGCTAGATTAAATCTAATGTAAGCGAAACTTTTTAGACATGTAAGAGAAATTAAACCGAAATAAAACCAAACAAAGATTTATAAACCGCTCTGCGCCTGAAGTTATGCCAAGATGCGAGTAGCAACTGAAAGCAAGCAAGCACACACACTCATACACACACTCATGGATACAATTGCCACGTAAAGGCTCTGTGGCAGAAGTTGCTGTAGCAGCTGTAGTTCGCTCTAAGAACAACGAGCCGATGCGCTCGAAGAGCACGTCGCTGGAATGCTGCAATTACTGTCTTACCCTTGCCATTGTTGTCGTTGTTGTTGTTATTGTTGCTGTTGCATATACAAAGCAGCAAAAATAAATTCGAAAAACTGTAACAAAATAATCAAAGTGAGGCAAGCTGAAGTACATATGAGGCAACAACAACAAAAACTACCGTTACTTTGGCTGCACATGCATATTCTATGAGTTATTGTAATTGCTGCTGTGCCTGGCTTCCCTGCCATGTTGTGGCCACTGCTTTTGGCTGGCTACTCCTCCTCTTGCTGCTGCAGCGGCTGCTGGAACTTTTAGTGCAAACATACACACACATGAACATATTATATACTGTTGGGCCTACACATATCTATGTATGTGTGTATTGACAGTTATTTGTGTGCTGCTAGAGCACTTTATACCCTGCCATTGTTGTTGTTGTTTTTCTTTTTATCTCCTCATTGTTAAATGCGCGTGTGTTTGTTGTTGTCGCACGACTTAGCAGTCTCACATTAAAATCTCTCCGCTCCCCCAAAAACACTTTGCGCCACTAGCAGCTCTATTATTGCTGCCAACAGCCATGTATGCGTGTATGTGTGTGTGTTTGCTTTTGTTGTGTACACTTCAAACGCCTACAAACTGCCTTGTAGACAATGCCTCTTACGCCCTTCGCTCCGCTTACACTCTCTGAGTGGTTGCGCGGCAATGGACATTCGCTCAGTCATTTAGTTGGCAGCGAAGCAGCAGCGCTGGCGGCGCATGCAATATTCATTTTCCTACAAATGACTGCAATTTACTCAACTCTTCTTCTTCTTCGCCACTCGTTGAAGTGCGGGATGCGCGCGCGAAGGCTGGAAGTGTACACAGGTATCTTGTTTGTAGGCATTGTTCGTGTAGTGATTATGAGTGAAAAGGTGATTGCCCGCGCTCTCATGCTTCTCCTTGCAAGGCCTCTCTGCGGTGATAAAATCTTCGTTTTATTTAATTACTGCGAGTAATAAACAAGTAAGAATTCTACTATTCGAAACTTTAGTTATGTACTGTCGTATATTTCATTGAGACTTAATTTCATTTTGTATGTTTCGTTTGAGGTTATGTTATGCCAAACAGTTTTTTCCAAAATCGCCATTTCAATTGTCATTTAAGCTATAAAAGTTCAGAAAACTTCAAGCTCATACTTTATGAAATAATTGTTAAGGTTTTATAGCCGTAATTTCTTTTCTGTTATTTCTTCGTTATCTTGTCTACAATTATATCCCTAACATTAAGAGTATCGCACAGGGAGAAACCTTGGAGTCTTATAAGGTATTCCTATAGATGTTCAACATGACTATCTGATTCGATTCAGTCAAGTCCGTCTCAGTTTTCTATACGCGAACTTGTCTCTCACTTGAGATGTCGATCAGAAATTTTGCACACTTCTTTGCTCACCAAAAAGCTGCTTATTTGTCGGAACTGTCTTTATCGGAAAAAGAATGTAGCGTACTTTCTTCTTATAACCGATTTCCCAACAACGCGCCACTCGTTCTTCCTTTTCGCTATTTGGGCCCATTTGGGAATTCCAAGTATAGCCAGGACTTTCTCCATCTAGTCTTTCCAACGGAGTGGAGGTCTACCGCTATCTCTGCTACCTCTGACGAGTACTGCGTCGACTACGCTCAGAGCTGGAGTGTTTTCATCCATTCGGGCGACTTGACCTAGCCAGCGTAGCTGCTGTCCTTTAATTCGCTGAACTATGTAAATGCCATCGTATATCTCGTACAGCTTATCGTTCCATCTACTGAGGTATTCGCCGTTGTCAATTCGGAAGGGACCATAAATCTTCCTTTGCTCCTTTTGAATACAAATATACATTTCTAAGTTATCATATGCCTTGTATGCATAACTCCATGAATCGGTTGATCACTTATTGACAATATTTTAGTCTAGATGTTGTATTATTCATAGATGGATGAGGCTAAAAATTTCAAAAACTGGATCACTCAGAGCTTCACTTTAACTGCTTAAACCTTTAAATTTCAAAAATCTTACTATTCAATAAAAGTAGCAGTGTCTATGGGAGACGCCAACTTAAATTAGAATTCAGCACACATTTGCCAGCCAATGCTTTCAGGAATGCAGAAGTTGCACATAAAATTGTAAAATAAACTCTTCCTAATGGAACTTTGTAATTTCTTATATATTTGAAGGCGACCCAGTAGCATTGACTATTTACTCCCGCTGAGCTGCTGCAATTTGTATGGTTGCACATAAAATAAATAAGCAACAATATACTAAGCTGCATGCTTATACTCATACACGCGTAGTTTTGTGTGTATGCCCGAACGGGAAGGAATATGTGGGCCCCCTGCAAAGCGACACAACCGTTGAAGCAGCAAAGTCACTTCTATGGCGCTGTTGGCCAGCATGAATGTGACTTCAATAAAAATCCACTCAAGACTTGCAACTGCAACAATTGCGAACTTTTACCTTCCACTTTGAAAATCCTTCCTTCCGTCTTACCGTTATTTTTGAAATGCAGCAGCTGCATCGCATCAGCTGCGTTCTTCCATGTCCCTAATAAGGCGTTGTTGTTGTTTTTTATACCGTTGTCGCTGAACTGTTTGCTGACAACAGTCACGTATATACTATATTTAATCCACCAGCGTGGCACACTCTGAGCGCAGCGCATAATGTTGGCCAGCATTCGCTCATTAAAATTTGTTCGTTCGCTCGCAGTGAAAGATGTTGCAAATATGTTGTTGTCATCAAAATGCTTAAAATTTTTTCGTAATACATAATTACTATATAGAAATATATACTAATTTTTACTAATAAGCACGCGTTAGCAGTAAAGCTGCTACTTACTTGAATAAAATGGCGTATTTCGGTGTCTGACCTTCTCTGCCATAAAGTAATTTTACCTTGCCCAGGGTATATTAAGCTTGCCACGAACTTTGTAACTGGCAAAAGGAAACGTCGGAAATCAAGTATTTATATATATATAAATAATCAGCCTGCCAAGCTGAGTCGACTTAAACATATCAGTAGGTCTGTCCGCCTGTATATGCACGAATTAGTCGCTTAATTTTTGAGATATCGACCTGAAATTCCGCACATGCCCTTTTCTCCGCAAGAAGCTGCTCATATGCTGGAACCGCTGATATCGTACAACTATAGCATATAGCTGCCATTGAACTCAAGCTGAGTTGAGCTGAACGATTGAACTCAAGTCCTTATATGGAAAACTTTTTTATTCGAACAGATATCTAGACGAAATTTGGCAGAGTCTATTATCTAAGGCATTGCTATAATTTTTGAATATATTTTTTCAGATCGGACAACTATAACATGTAGCTGTCATACAAACTGATCGACTAAAATCAAGAAAAATATCTTTTTATACACTTAATGCTATACAAAAAATACACCTGAGAGGGGTATAGCTACAGTGTAGGAAAATCTTACGTTTTATTTTAAATTTTGGGTTTTTTTTATTTCTTTGTCTGAGCTTCTTAGTGCTTAGGTCTCTAGCATAAGCATTCTAGAAGCTTTTGCCATATAAAACTCCATAGTAAGAGAATTTCGAAAAATTTAAAAATTCTTGTATAATTGTTGGAAAATACACAAAATGTTGATACTAAAAAATATAAAGTTTTACCATCGAAAACTTTCCTCTAGTTGAAGTCTTAACTAGAAACGCTTTGGAGCTTTTTGTCTTTCGAAAGACACACAAAAAAACTCGAAGATATACTTTATAGATATTTATTACACATAATTATATACTTATATATATATATATATGTATAT